GTTGTAGCTTGATTTTAATTTTAAAGTTAATACAACTACTAGTCAAGTGAGTTTAGCTTGTGTGCACAGTTATAAATTTGGCTAAATAGAGGGACCATTTTTCATAAAAAGAGTAAAAAAAAATTATTTTATTGCTGAGAACCTGAAAACAATTGTTCCAAATTTGACATAATTCGGTTTCTCTGTCGTTTACTCCAGTTTCACTGATTTATCTGTGCAGTGCCTTTAATGTCAGTTTCCATTTGGTGATTTTCCTGCAGTTTTGCTTTATTTCACCTCTGGTTTTGCCGTTTCCTTTACTGTTTAATCTATTCTATCCCTTTCAGCTGCTGCAATCTTTGTTTTTCATTATAACCAATCATCCAAGTCAGGCTTTGTTTTGCTGATTTCTACTACTAGTTACAATACCTGCCAGATTTATTTCACCCTTCAAGGGTGATTTTTTTTTGTTTTTAAGATATTAAACCTGAAGTTACAGGTTTTCACTGCCTGTTTCCTCACGGGTTCATCCGCACTTCCTAACAAAATTAGAAAACTGAAAAAAAAGCAAAGCAAAAACAAGGGGGAAAAAAATAACATTTGATGTGTCGATGAGCAGGCTGGCTGCCAGAGCTAGAAGTGAACAGCTTAGATAAAGGGATACTGAAGCTCTAGAACAGCCCAAAGTCCAGAGCTAAATCCATCAGAGAGAGGCTGCCAAAAAACAAACGTCTGCTTTGACCGAGCTTCAGTTATTTTGCAATAAAAGTGAGGTAAGATTTTTAAGTCTAAATGTGCAAAAATGATATAAAGTTCCAAACAATCTGCTGATCTGAGTTGTTTCTAATGATTTTCTGGGTCCACAGAAACTCTTACCATGCAAATGATTTTGATACTCTGCCTCTTCCATCCAAACCTATAATGTTAACTAATAGATAAGTCGAAAGATTTGTATTTGCACATTAAAGTAATAAAAGCCCTGAATGTGTTTAGTGAAGGATCTGTCACAATCAGAGCAGCCTGATACAGAGTTCATGTTATAGTCTGATCCAACGGTGTTCTAGTTATTTTAGGGTCAACTATGGTCAATAAGAAAGTTATTATAAATTATGAAAGTTGAGTCAGGATTACTGATGTAACAGGATTAGTTCAGAGTGAGTAAACTGGCAGCTCTCTTTAGTTAAGAGTTAGAAGCTCTTTTCTCTCAGAGCTGTTGACATTTGCATCACCACCTTTATATAATGAGCTTTCCTCCAGTGGGACGTTTCCCTCACAGGAAGCAGCTGATATGACAGTAGGTCCGAATCAAATCCAAGAATGAATAAGAAGTAGATATATAACTTAATGTCAGCTTGGCGGCCAGTGAAGATAGAAGTTAGGAAGCAGGAGCCCAGTGGCTCTGAACAGGCTTAAACTGAGGCCCTGAATAGAAGAGCGCTGGACCAATCACAGCCAGGGGAGGGGTGCCTTTGTCCTTCTAATAAAGTCAAAAGCATCTCACTCTCCTGTAGATCAAGTCTGCCACCTAGTGTCGAAAGACAGAATTGCAAGCCACTTCCTTTGACAGTTTCCTTCTTATTTTCTGTTTGGAAACACTGGAAGAATTTATTTTCGGCTCTCCATTAAACCTATTTTCTCTCTAACCTTTAAACTTTTACATGTTTTTTTGATGCAGCAATCCCATATTTTTAGCATCCATTCTGGGGATAATATATGAGAGTGCCTCAAAAGGCAGTTACGGAGAGAATATCAATCTGGGTTGAACTATCCTTAGCCACCAGGATGAGCAGAGCCTTAATAAGAGAAGCTGTTGCAAGGACCCAGGTAGCAGGAGAGGAGCTGCAGAGATCCATAGCTCAGGTGAAAGTAAGTATTTTGGGGAGAGGGGTGGCATTGTTAAAATAATTGATAAAGAGCCCTTTTAACGGTTTCTTACAAGGCTGCTAAGGCAAACGTAAAATTTCAAAGGTCTGACTTTGTTGAATACTAATAATAAATGTCTTTCTTTTAAGGAGGAAACTAGAGCCGTAGTGGCCACTTCATGATGTATTTGACTTCAGCAAAGACACAGGATGGATAGAGCTTTGAAAAGGATGGAAGAAAACCTACTTAACGCTGGAGTTTACCATCTAAACCGACTCCAAGCATATGGCAAGAGCTACACTGCAATGGTTTATTAAAGCGACCTAAATTAAAGAAATAAGATGTGTGGCAAGACCTGAATAAAAGCTTTTTTTTTTTTTTTTTTTAAATCAAGTTTAACTGAGCATGAACATTTTTGTGAGAACTGGTGGATAGAGGCTACAGAAGGGATGAAGATGTAATCAAAGCAAACTGGTTCTAATGTTACCGCTCCATATAAAAGCGTTTATCAGGTTTTTAGGTGAAGTATTGAAGGACCATTCCATGTTGATACTCCTACGGGGTGTCCAGAGGGGGGCCAGGGCCCACTTACAGCCCTAGATCATATTTCAGAAATATTTTCGATTAGGTTTACCAGACTGACCCTGGTGGACAAATGTAAATATTAGGATGCAGTTTATATATATATATATATATATATATATATATATATATATATATATATATAAATTATACAAAAATTTTGACCCTGATACCTGGCTGTGCAGTATCGGCCGATACAGATACCATCTGTTTGAAATTGATGTGTGTGTATATATGAAGAACTGCATACTACTTGGATGTAAAATAATTGCCATCATGGCTTTATCAATCTGCTGCCTTCCTTTGTGAAGCAGGAAAAAGACTAAAACAAAGTGAATCCAGTAGAACTTTTTATTTCCTACCTGGAATGGGTGACAATATGGCTCCCATATTTGTTGGTACTCGCCGATACTAATGCCACCATTTTAGTGATGGATCGGGGGTATCAGTGGTTTCCCTATTTAAACAATCATGATTTCACGTTTAGTTTTGATTAATAGCAAACAGTAAGACAAACATCCCGCAAGTTTTTATTAAAGGACAGACTTTTTTTGTTTTGTTTGGCTAAAAAAATAAGTAACTTTTTTAAAACAGGCAAACCTGCAAGTTTCGCAACTTTTTTATATCTAGGATGGTTTACAGATTGTTTCTCTAACTTGGTTGTTTCATCAGAACATTGTCAGAGTAGAGAGTTGGAACAGAGAACAGCAGAGCTGTAGAGCATAAACCAGATCAAGTAAAATAAAGATTCAAGGGACATTAAGTCTTTTTGAGGCCCTGCAGGATAGACTGTGGTCATGGTTATTTAATGTGGTAAAAATGGACTTTACACAGGAGTTAAAGTGCATCGACATTAACAGAGGAAAAGCTGTTCATTCAAACAGTTGCTTTTGATTGAATGTGAAAATGAGAAAAACTAAAGATGCTGCAGATTTATGATGTGTATTTACTGCAGATTTGGAGAAAGGAAAAAAGAGTACCTTATACCACATTTATACCACATCAGACTGCATGTTGACAGATATGTAGGTTTTCTTGACAATAATGGGATGTCCAGTCTAACCTTGGAAGTTTTACCTTTTGCAATAGAAGCCTATTGCAGGAGAGGAGTTTAGTTTTAAATCCCTGATACGGTGCATAGAAGAGGAGGGTCTCAACTCAATAAAATCCAAACCATCTTTAGGTTTTATACACATATAATTATATATTCAATGTACAAAGACACATTCTCAATTGCAAAGGTTCATTCATCAAAAATAAATACTGAAATGGCTAAACTGAAATATTTATACATATATATATATCTTTTCTCCTGCAGAGAAGACAGGAAAACACACAGTTGCATAAAGAGGACAGCTTTCTGAAACAAAAAAAACAACCGATGAAACAGAAAGCATGTGTGCAGTGTTCAGAGGACTGAACAAGTCTCAAAGCGGACAGTTTGATAAAGACAGCAATAAAAATGTCGAGAGGGAAACTTCTGGATTAACACACAGGTTTGGTAAAAAGGGAGCAGATCAGCAAAGCAAAGGGTTTGGTTTCTCATCTGGCAACCGAAGGGGGGGCATTACATTATCCATTTCTTTACCCTCTGACTCTAACACCTTTCTCTCTCTCACAACACGCACAATTTACAAATATGTAAGTTAAAAATAGATCTCTATCTGAATATATCAACACGCTTTGATATCTGTTAGAAAAAAACATGGCTCCCTGATCCCAACATGCTGCTGTGAAAGGTGCTGCTCTATCGCTGCCTGAGCCTATAGCTATTAGCCTTTAACCTTTGGTAGCAAACAGCATAATCTTTAGAGAAAAATAGATGAACTTTGCCATGAAAACAGCAAAACTCTGGTATCTAAGGCATCTATCAAAGAGTCTGCGGAGCGGAGGACAGGGAATCTGATGTCATGGAGGCGAAACTGAGGTGAGCAGATTTCTAGACATAATTAAAAGCTGCACACTGATAAATAAAAAAAAAATCGTTATGTCATCTGCAAACAGTGACACCTATTTATTGCCTTTAGTGTTCAGTTATTGCAAATCCTCCAAACATCTGAAGGTACATTCTGTCTAAGGGATTTTTCTCTAAGGAAAATCTAAGTATGATCAAACAATATCAAATCTTTGCAAGAGACGTGAAGGATTTATTAAATTCTACCAAAACAAGCGACAAAGAAGCTAAAAAGAGGACAGCTGCTCGGATTGTTTAATAGAAGTGATTCACAGCTCTTATCCAGACCTTCTTTACGTATAGATACCAGTTTCTCTGCTCACCCCAGTTGTAAGACAAGCAGCACAGATTCTGCTCCAGTTAGTGAAAAACCTCCAGTTTTACTTTAATGAACGGAAAGCTGAACTGAGATTTGATTTAAACGTTTCTTGAGCATGAAATTATGTTCAGGACTTTTATATTTTATGTCCACCAAAAAAATCTCTGACCTTCTGAGGTACTGCAAGGAAGGAATCGCATTTTTTTCCCCAATTAAACAGCCAAATTCATCATGTTGTTTGATCAACCCCATGTAATATTTTAATCTAATCCAGATTTTAGCTCCAAGCTTTAGCATTCTTTCAAGTGGCCAGCAGCTCACAGAACCCCGTTTGCCTCGTGCTTCATTATCTTTGCGTCTGCAGCATCCAAATCTACATTATTGGCTACAAAGGTTATTTTCTCGTTTCAAAAATCCAACATCTTTTCACGACGATAACAGGGGAACGGAGACTGTAATGGCTACGGCACCTCTCAGTGAAACGCTAACCGTTCAATTTCATGACAAAACCCTTTTCATAAGAATTTATTTCCACCTGGTTCAACACAACAGCTTGGAAACACATTAAAAGCTCACATCCTTAACAACGCTAGTCCAAATAATTTTATATTTCTCGCTCAGGAGCGTTCCAAGTGATTAAAGACAGTAGTCGTTTGTGTCTGATAATGAAAAACCGATCCGTGTTTCATCAAACACGACCAGAACCCTATGGTGAACTTTCTAATCCAGTTAATGGGTCTCAGAGCAGATTATTAAGGGTCCTGGGATAAAGTTTTTGTTGCCTTTCAAAAACACCTTCCAGAAGAGGCTTTCGTTTAGAAGCTGCATAATCATAACAATGTAAACATGACAAAAAAGTCATGGAATTTTATTAAATTATAACTAAGTTTTAGAAATACTGATGGCTGTTGTTTTTTTCCAGGGCTAAATGGATAAGAATCTGTGCTGATATCTGAGGCACAAACTGGGCTGTTTGAAACTTGAATTAATTAAATTCTTATTAATATTTAGCAAATAATGATGAAAATATTGAATATAGCATCAGCTTCACACAAGTGAAAGATGATTCCACTGTTGAGCTTTAAAAGATGTTCTTCTTAAACATAGAAGATGTTCTTTTAAAACATTTGATAGAGAATCCCACATGATTAACTCCCCCGTCTAACATTCTTAGAGGAAAGCTTATGAAGGCGACAGTTTTCCTACCCCTGAACAGCAGATGCAGCTTTAGCCGTGTCTGGAGTGAGCTCAGGTTGTAATCTGAGCAGAAACATCAACCTTACCTCCAGTAAAATTGAAACACATTAGGCAAAAATAAATGTTTCGAATCTGAAGCATAAAAAAATAAAAGGACAAAGAAACTCCATGCGTTCAAGGTTAAGAGAGAAAAATGCTCGCAGAGCAGTTTTTGCTAGTTTTGCTTCCATCGTTCCAAAGACTGAGGAAGCAAAAAATAAGTGCTGATTAATCTGGTGCCTTCGACGACTCCTGGGTTTCTGTGGTTTAGGAAAAAAAAAAGGCAAATCATGTCTGCAGAGGCTAGCCGGCTTGTTTTCAGTCCTCGCTAACCATGACCTGCCAGACGATGAGGTGGCTTCGCTCTCCTTTGGTGAGGAAGGGCTGTAGCTTCATGGTGGGGTCCTCTGCCTCGTCTGCTTCTCCGTCCTCGTCCCCTGCAGGTAGAGAAACACGTTGGCCGTCTACGCTATGGGTTGGCACCATGTTTGTGGTCCAGCTCAGAAACTCACCCATTCTGAAGTCAATGTAACCCTCTCCTCCGCTCATCACCAACATGGATCTGCTTCCTTCCTGAGCTGAACCATCAGTGGATTTGTCTCCTGATGTGTCTGATGCGCTGGATGCTGACGGATCTGCATGACCTGACAGCAAAAATGCCAATAAAAGCCAGAAGCTTCACAGCCGGAAATGAAAACACTTGATTTGTTTGGCATGTTTTCACTCACATCGTTTCTATTTTCTTATCAGAATATAAAACGGCTCCAGCTGTTATTATTCTGTTACCTTGAAATTTGATTTTCCATTTTTCTAAGGTTAAAATGAACGTGTTGCTTTTATGGTTTTTTCTTACATTTCATAAATCTTTCCTGTTGAAACTTGCTTCCTTACCATATTATAATGAGTAAAATGGGTGTCAAGCCTACATTTTTTATAGTTCAATTAGAGATAATTAGATCTCAAGCTTGTTTTTCTGAGACTAGACTTCAGTTATTTTAGTATCTCTGGATGAGAAATCTCTTGTTTTTCATGACAGGCTTCCTTTCATCATTAACTCAAGAAAAAGTCTCATCTAGAGATAACGGAATAGTTAGTGTTGACATAGAATATTTCATCTTGATTGGTTCATTGTTTCATTCCTAATTAAAGCCTCACCTTCACCTCATCTCTGGATATTGAGATCTATAGATCTGAGAAGAGTGATCAAACAATAAGAGCTTAGGCCTATTTTGTCTCCATTAACATTTAATCCTCTCAGTATATTAAACTTAGATTGTAATTAAGTAAATTGCTTCGTCATCTTAAGATTCTGAGGTCTCACACTCCTTTTGTTACGGTTCATATGTCTCGGACATAAATTATATCTTGTTTGAAGGAAAAGATCTTGTTTTGTTCTAAGGATGCATTTGATACGTCAATAAATATTAGTACTGGGAAGTTGTGATTGTTTGTTTAGTTTTCATCTTTCCAGTGAGTCACTAATGTCATTTTGTCCCACATTCACACTTTTCTTAGGATGACTGTTTACTTTTATGTATATTTTAAGACTTCAAGGTTTAAAGTAAGATCTAGATTTGAACCCACGCCGTTAATAAATCCTTATGTAAAGATGTTAAGAATCAAAAAGTAGAAATCAACTGCGCTTCAGACTGATCTGAAGCCGGCTGCCTGTAACGCTGGATCACCTGGAACCGCCGTGAAGAACTGGACCGCATTCCTGTGACCGTGGAAGCTGAGCTGAGCGTGAGCCATGGAGCAGTAAGGAACCACTGTCCCTGCCGTCACCTTGTCGCCGCTGTCGTCTCCATAGATGCGGACAACACCTCCCGGATTGTTTCCTGATGCCTTGGTTACCTTGCTGGCTGCTAAAAGAGCAGCGGACGTGCAGAAAAGACATTAAAATATCCCCATAAATAGACTTAAGGAGACATTCATCGTTGTTTAACATAAGAATATGTGAAGTTTCTGAACCTACATTCTGTTAGAGGAATAGAGATGATGACTCCGTTACCGGTCCCGATCCACAAACGGTTACATGACACCATGAGAGCCGAGATCCTTACGAAGGAGAAGCCCAGCTTGCCCGTACCTGCAGACAGATGACATTCAAACCCTCGTTCTGCTTCCAGCTAGTAAAGTCTGCAGGGAGCGCCTCCTGACCGAGCATCTTGCTGACGTAGGGCTCGATGTCGATGTCCTGGAGGTGCTGGTGTGTGTGTGCGTGGAACAGCCTGAGAGTGGAGTCCAGCTTGATGGAGACCCAGATCCCGTCGCCGTGCCAGGCCAGCTGACGGACCTGGCTGTCTTTACGGGGGTGGGCGTCGAAGGATTTCTACAAGAGAGAACAAACGGGTGGATGTAAGCAGGCGTGATTAAGAGATGGAGTCGAAGAGGAGGTGAATGTTTCCTCGCCTCTATCTTCATGGCTCTGGGATGCACCACATGGATCTTGTTCCTGTAACCACACCACACCCTGTCATGCACCACGGTCATGCAGCGGATGGAGTGGTGCTGTTTCCCCAGGTCCAGCAGATGGTAGTTGGTCAGGTCCCACTGCCCATCTGATGATGAAAAAGTAAACGCAATCACTGGAGATCTTCTCCTGGAGATTTCAGAGGAACCAGAAGGCTCTCTCACCTGTTCCTCTGTGGAAAATGGCCACGGTGCTATCAGAGAGGCTGACCAGAACCCGACCTTTCACATGTCTGAGAGGGAAACAGGTTTTAATCGTCAGACTCGGAGATAAAACCACTACATGAGCGGTTTGTCTTTAAGCAACTCACACTATGCCGAGCACGGGCTTCTTCAGCTTTACAGAATGGAGACACTTCTTCCAGTGAGCCACAGACGAGTGGACGTACACACTAGGAACGAAAGCACAATTTCACTTGGCGAGGAGAAGATTAGGGCGACCAGCAGAAGCAGAACGACAAATAAAACACACTACCATCCATTCTGGGCCCCCAGCCACATGGTGGGCAGGACGCTGCTCATTTTCTGAGCCTCTTCGATCATCAGGTCCTGCTCCTCTGCGCTGGGGTTCGAACTCACTCCATCTTTAAGCAGATCGCTCTCTCTGTTCACAAGAGACAACCCAAAACCCAGAGTAACATTAGCGTTAGCTCTTCTCCGCCTCTATATGAAATCGTCCATTAAACCGTAAAAAGTTGGTATAGGAAGACTGGGGGTGAGTATTGGAATGGGGGTTAAGATGCGATCCATGTCACAATACAAGATTATCACTATATTGCAATATCACCATATATTGCGATATTTGTCCTGTTATCAAAATTAAATGTATAGATAAAAAAGCAACCTCTGCATATGTTCACCAGATGATATTGATCGTTCAGTTATTTTGGTATCCATGTTGCTTGGGGTTTGAATCAATCCAAGTCTTCTACTGTGACTGTCTCAACTACAGAAATATATGGCAGCCAAAAATCATGATATATTGCCAAAACGATTTTCTTTCACACCCCTAAGGAAGACTGCAGAGTTGAAGCCCTTTGCCCTGATTGAATCATCTTAATTACTAGCTGATAAAGTATACCAATGTTAAAAGAAAAGCTCTCATGGTCTGATCTGTGATGGTTTTCCACCGGTAAACTACATTTGGTTGTTTTCCAGGACCTGATTAGCAAAAAAAAAAAACAAACAAAAAAAAAAAAAGCTAACTGCATGTAGTGAGGCTAATGCTAATCCCTTGACTCCTTTTTCAAACATCTGACAGATTCAAAACAGCTATGACTGACTAACAAAGAGAGATGGCCTCCAACTTGGAAAACGATTGGAAGCTAAAGGAAGCCTGTTAAAAAGACTAGCCTATTAGCTAGCTAAGATTAGCTTTAACTCCATTACCAGCAGAATATCAAGAAGCTCTGATATCCTGCACAACAAGGATGTAAATGGTTCTACTCAACCCAGTGGTTTAGCTTCCTCAATTACTGTAAATATCTTTAGAAAATATCTTTAGAAAATCTTAGACCAACAAATTATTTGCCTGCGTACATCTGAAATAGTTTAAACCCGGATTTTTCAAAACGATCCATTAACGATTTTCATATCAGGTTCATATAAAATCAAGCCATGTTGACTGGAAACAAAGGTTACTTTAACAACTACAGCTCCAGTGTTTAGATAAAACCTGAATTTCTTTCCATCTGAAAGGAAAACTAAAAGAGTGGTACCATTTCTACAACATGTGATGCTTCATTTTGGGCTTTTATTACAATAAAAACACACTGAAGCTTGCAGTTATAAATAATCATGATTATTTTAAGTGGTGTGACTATTATTGCAAAGCTCTGTAAAATACTAACATGTTGCTTTGAAATGAGTCGAACTATGACCCAAAGTTTTTTATAATCACATACTGCCATAAAATAAAGTACAGGTTCCTTTGAATCATAAAACTTTTACCTTTCAAGTGTAATTAGGTTAAGATTTAACAGTTAATTTTACTGAATTCAACATTGATATGATTAAAAAACAAAACAGCTTTTAAAAGGGACATGTTTCCAGATGTTACCTCTGGGAGTAGTTAGCTGGGGTCTCTCTGGTCTGCTGGGCTCCTAGCGGATCTGTGAAGACGTGTTCTGTGTAGATCCCTCTCAGGCTCTCGCTGTGGTCAAAGCCTCCTGCGTTGGTCTCCATCGCCTCCATGGCTTCTTCTGCTGGTCTGGAATCTAAGATGGACATTTAACCGGGTTTACTGAGAAGAAGATGATGATCTGTGGCCCAGATGGCTCCAGCGGGTTTCTTGCTGCTTACCTGAACCATCAGCAGTCTGAGGAACAGCTACTGCTCCGTCAGCTTCACAGCCCACCACCGTGATGCCTCCAAGAATGCTATCGCCGCCCTCTGAGCTCCTATTGGCTGCTGATGGTCCGCCATCTCCCACTGGTCCTGGCTCGGTGTTTGAGGATACTTCCTCCCCGGCAGGATAGTCTGTTTCTCTCGCACCTTAATGGGAACAAGAATCAGCCGCAAAATTCACAGAAAACAATCCGAACCAGAGGCTCCAGTTTTGATCCGTCACTGACCGGGTACACTGGCGATGCAGAAAACGTGCGAATTACAAACAAAGAAGCTCTCCAGGATGTTTCCGGGCTGGTTGGCATCGATGACGACCACGTTGGAGTTGGACTGGGTGCTGGTGGAGATCCACACCAGAGAGGAAAACTCGTCCTGATGACGCAACTCTTTCTGCTGCTCCTGCAACAACAACAGACAGAGAAATGAACTCAAAGCAGCGACCTTCCCGCCGCTGGCGTCTGTTAGAAAACGCGTACCTTAAGCTCCCGATCCAGCTGATCCAGGCTACTCTGAGAGCCCTTCTCTTTTTTGGGGCTCGCTGCACCTGATGTGTCGCTGTAAAACACACTGGCCCCCACTATGGAACCTCCATCCCTGGTTTTTCCACCAGACAGATTCACACCTGCAGCACACCACAGCTGGAATACGAACAGAAAGCCGTCAAACAGAGAACTTAATCATCCCCATGATAACAGAGGGGTGGCAGCATCATGCTGTGGGTATGCAAGGGACAACAAAAAGCAGAGCAAAGTAAGCAGAGGAAGGAGACACCTTCATAGTCGGATCTTTCTCATCCAGCGGCCTGAGGAAGACTGGAACAGGTAGATTCTTCATCTTGCCATCTGCCTGACCTCCATTAGCCTGGGAAGTCAAACAGCGCACAAATACGCCTCATTTTTTAGACACCTTGTGTTTGTCATACATAAAAACACAATAGAAACATTAGCAGTCATCTTCTTACTTTGTATTTCTTGGGGAGGCTCCAGCCGTACGCCTGCACTCTGCCGTCCTCCTTCTGGACGTGAGCTTTGACCTGTTTGTACTGAGCCCTCTTCTGTTCTCGCCTTGACACCGAACTCTCAGGCGGCGGTCTGTGGGACAGAACAACAGCTCACTCACAGCCTGATTTAGGAGCTTCACCAAACAGAGGGTAAACCTTTTTCTCCCTCACTGTTGCTCTAATTCACTGCGTTGTATCCTGCGCATGTTAAATAAAAAACAAGGTCAAGAAAACTGCAGCCTTTCAATAAGAAAAAAAATATGTATTTTGGCGCAGAAGAAAAGCAACCACACAAATAAATGTTTCACTGCTTTCTGCTTCTGTTCATTTTGCTTTTGCAAAGGACATCCTGTGACGGCAGCCCAAAAACCAGCAGATACAGCTGAATGATTAATGTTTTAAACATTTCTACATCTAATTTCGAATCAATAATACATTAACACTAAATATATGCAACATCATCCTAAAATATTCAAACAAAAGAAGGTTTTAAGGAGCGTTAAGGAGCTACTAGCTCTAGAAGCATTAGTTTTCTTTCTGTGTGTTTCCTACTGTAGCCAAAGTAACTCTAGGAGGACTAACGTCTGTTTAAATTCATCTCTTTAGACAAACTTACTCCTCATTGAGGAAATCAAAGGCTTTGCTCTTGTCACCCGGAAGCTGCTGCAAGGCACTGCTCTTCTTCTTGACGGATGGCTGAATCTGCGAGGTGGGCGCGTTGTACTTGACGTTCACCGGGGCGTCCCCCGCCGGCTTCTTTCCCGCTCCGCCCGACGAGCTAAACAAACGGCTGAAACTGGAGGTGTAAGGGCAGGGAAGTGGGGAAGAGAGAAAAGGAAAAAGAGAGAAGGAGGGGACCACACAGAGACAAACGTATAGCAGGGTGGACACAAGCAGTAGCTCCAGCAGTACGATGGGGTGAAAATGAAACCATGCCAGTACACCATGCTAGCTGTTATTAACCATCTGCCATGTCAGCAGGAAAAACCCCAATTATTACGCCTTGACTTTATGATTCTGTCTTTTAGGTAGAAAAGGTTTTGGAGCACCTGTCCTTCCAGAAAGCTAGAGAGCAGAGAGAGCGGGTTAATAAAATGCAAACACTAGGAAGTTAGTAAACGACACAGAGCAGAACAGGCCTGACCAGAAAACACTCCGATGTAGAGATGCAACCAGAGGCTAATCAGAAATAGACTATTTTCAGCTTCACCTGAGAAATAAACACTAGGAGGTCGCCATGGTAACACTGTTTGGTGTGACAGATGTTCAGTATCAGTAAGTTGGTTCATTAGGGGGGAAAAAAACGTGTTATAAGGAAACTTAGGCTACCCTCACACAGCAGCTTTTGATACTGAATTCTGATTTTATTTCTTAAATCCGAGATCATTGGTACTAAATCTGATTGTGTGTGTAAAGATGATATAAACTGACATTATTATTAAAGTTACGATTGAATGATCTAGAGATCTGTAATCCATTGGTTTTCTTCTTCTTAGTTAAAAAGGTTAATAACATAAAAATAAAACTATGTAGAATGCTTTTCTATTCAGTGTTCTTTTGTGTTGGGAAGTAACAATGCAGTTTGCAGTTTTATTAAGTTTAACTCTCTCTTACTGTAAGTTTTAAGTTGGGATCGAATGATCTGTTTTCGACTGCTAATGCCTCGCCTAGCCTAGGTTCGGAACGTGTGGCTCTCGTTCATCCATTGCACAGGGCAAAGTCGATAGAAATAAAGATGAATGGGGCTCATTAGTCACTTTTCCATGACCAGCAAATTGCACAAGCTGCAAAATAAAATGGCTAAATGGAAAAAACTTGAATTTTGGGGAAAAAAAAACAAAAAAAAAAACACGTTTATCGATTAAGTGTTTTTACGCTTCTATGAGGGGGGGTTTAGTCGTATCCAAATTCTTTTATTTCGCAAAATTGCAATGGAAACGCAAAGAAGAAGAAGTAGTGGGAGGGTGATAGCCGCCGCTAGACCAGTGGTTGAAATATGGATATATTTAACATTTACATTCACTGCTGCCATGTTGTTTTTAAAGTTATTGTGTGGAAAAACATATTCACGTGCAGTTTTAATCATATTAGTAACTCCATTACTGTGAAACCTTCTTTTGATATTAGCAGAATATCAACATAGCTTTGCGCACATTTGTGATGGAAGCGTTGGACGGAAACCAAAAGCATTTTAGCTTTGATCAACACTTCTGTGTTTTTGTGAAGAAAAAAAAATGAGAGCAGATGGGCAAAAAGATCAAATCAGGTTCACCTTGGCCTGTTTCACTCGGGCTGTGAGAGCGAGAGCAAAGCTTTAGCAGATAACAGAAGGAATGAACTTTTTCAGCTTTGATTCATTTTCTGCCACAAACATACTGGGTTTAAAATATGTTAGCAGCTTTGAGGAAGTCTGAGATTAAAGGTAAGGACATTTCAAGCAGAAACTGCTCTTTTGTTTGTTATAACCTTATTAATCATTTATATAAGATGCTAAAGTTTATTTCTATTACGATGGGCTACTGTATAAAACCTTGAACTTAATGCTATTCTGACATTTTGAATTGGAAAAAGCTTCCTGGATGCTTCCTGGCGAAATATCTTCAAACTTGGAAACAAAGTCCAGTGGATTGTTTTTAATATTTCTATTATATGAGTGATTGATTTTGATTCTACTTTTAATAATTAGGATGAAACTGGACTGTATTTTATTTTACTAGATCTTACTCGGATATGATTTGGGTTGCAATAGAACTGAATCAAATTTGGACCTAATTCTGATTAGTGCATCTCTACTCGGTTTTACAGCACCCTAAATACAGTACATATGAATATATTTAACCCCAACTTAGTGCTCAGTTTCTTTGATAACCTGCAATACTCTGTGGTATCATTTGGATTAGCAAACATAAGATAAGTCCTCTACTCCCACTAATTGAACAAAGCTGCTTCCAACACACCTCCTGCACAGAGACATCACAACATCAGGCAGAGTTTGAAGGGACACAGAAACAGGGTAGAGACAGTACATTTGTCAGCTGTTGTCCCAAATAACATCCATCTTCAAACCAAACCAAGCTCTTTCCCTAGACAACTGAACAAATGAGAGCTGTGATTTGCTCTACTTTGTTGAGAGTTTTGTTGTTAGAATTTAAAAAAACTCATACACTTGCCAAGATTTACCTACATCCTGGAGTAAAAAAAAAAAAAAAAAAAAACACCCAGAAAAAATACAAAAGAACGATCAAAAGGCTTTTAAATGACAAAGCATGAGACAACTGAGGATCTCTAGTGAAAAGAAAGGAGGAGCTTACAACTGCCAGAGGCTGGATTTCTTCTTCTCTGGAAGAGCGGGGTTCTCCTTAGAAGCACTGAAAGAAAACAAAGAATAAACCCAAAGCTGTTTATATAACAAATAAAGCGCCTGACTTTTTACATCAAGTCTCTGCTGCCCTACAGGGAACCCTCTTCATCTTCTTTCTGCACAGTGCCTGGAGAAAGTACATCTAACACTTTAACTCATCCACATTATTCATACTGTAACCAAAAACCTTTTTGTTAGGATTCAAAGGAATAGACTGAAACTACAGTTAAGCACAGATTTCAGAGGATATTTGTGATCAAACTTCTTTTAAAGGGAAAAATCTTAAAAAGTGTCAGAAAGAGCAATTTTGACAGGAGGCCATAAAAAGTCCTGCCTGAACAAAACCCAAGGTAGGGCTTAAACAATTATTCGGATTAATCGATTATTAAAATAATTCTCAACTAATTTAGTAATGATCAATTGTTAACTGGAGTGTTGAGGCTTGAAAACAATATAAAAAATAAAAATAATAAATTATATCAAAATTGTAACAAATATTTTATCTTTAAGATTAAAAATAATTTTTTTTCCTTCTGTCAGCATGCTTCTGTCCAGAACTCCTCAAGTGTAAAAGTTTTAGTTTCATTTAATTTTGTAAAAAATCTTCTTTAAGGATCCTTTTCTTATCTGATTATTAATCAAAAAAATAATCAACAGATTCATCAATTTGCTAAATAAATGCTGGTTGCAGCGTATTCAGGGTTTACACAGGAATGAGTAACTTATTTTATGCTTTTTAATGCTCTTAGAAATAACTTTAATTACATCAACAAGTACTCATGACTCTCATAAACACGGCAAAGCCATGTACGGAATTACTCGTTTTCCAGCCAGTTTTGTGGAAATTTACTATTTCCCCATTCTCTAGCTTTTTCTCCGCCTTGAGCTTCTTTCCCGAACAGACAGCTTTACGATCAACCGGAAGCAGTTCCACGTAAATATATCGCAATATATCTGACGAAACTGTTTTTATAAACTTTTTTTCTTTTTTGAATAAGGCATTTTAAATGGCACGATAATCCCATTTAATGAGTTTTAATGCCAGTTAAGGCCTTAATTTAAAAAAATAATCATTTAATGACTTTAAATGATTTTTAATGACCTGCAGAAACCCTGGTATAACTAATGAGCTCCTTCAGCAAAAACAGGGAAATGTTGATATATTGTTGATATGTTAATTGGATGACAAATGGAGGATAGATTGGTGCAATAAATGAGGAAACCTTTATAAAAATAAGCAGAACATTTAGAAGAATATAAGAATCTCTGGTTGACCTGTACTAATGAAATATTTGTAGCTTTGACTGCAACAAATCTAATGAATCAGCTTAAAACAGCAAACATATTAAATTTTGTAAATATCTTGTTTCGCAAATATTAATCCTTTTTCTTCTGCACACCATTATGATGTAACTGAACTCTGAGGTTGTAGCATCAACAAGACTTAAACGATTTTATGTGCTTACAAGTAAAAAAAAAAAAAAAAAAATCTACCTCTTTTATTGTTCCTATGATGCAAATTGGAACTCCTTAGAACCAAATCCCAGGTAATCAACCTGTTCTCAGGCCTTTCGGTTCTCTTACCGGATCATCTCGGTCCATCTCACAGCTTCCTGCAGCTCCATCAGCCTCTCCTTGTACTGGTTCCTCTCCATCAGGACTCTGGCCATCTCCACTCTGGTGAAGCGTTTCCTCTGGGCTGTGGGCACATCGCTCTGCAGGAACCCAGTACGTAGATGTGAGGCAGAAACAGAAGCACATTAAAACATCGGTCTTGTTTGCAGATCCTTACATCGTCCTCGTTTTCAGGTTTAATCTTCTGTTTGGCCTCCTCTAGCTGGGCTTTAACTCTGCAAAAGATGAAGCCGTCAGTGCTGATTATATAACCATTGCTCAGAAATCTGTAAAAACTATCAGGACGACATACTTCTTCAGCTCCTCTTCTAGGTCTTTGTTCT